GAAACAATACAGCAAACCATAACAATACGAAAATTGAATGAAAATAGTAGAAGTAAAAGAAAAAGATATAAAAACTAAAAGGAAACAAAAAGGAACAAATAAAAATGGCATAACATAAACAAAAGTTAATTAACTGCTATGAAGACGCCATCGCATTTTTAAGACACTGATTCCAGTATGAGCCTTAAGCTCGCTAGTATGACAAAGAGGACACAGAAAACGTAAACGTCAACGTAAACTATAAGTAGCCGAAAATACAATAGGAAATAAATAAAAAATAAATCCCTTATAAAAACCGCATAAATTCAAATTAACAAAACCCACCAAAAGACAGACTTAAGTACATACACAACAAGGACACGCAGTTTGAAATAAAGAATCTACTGATCCAAAAACGCTTGGAAACAAATTTATGAGCAAATTAATTGAGATTGGAAGCAGAATGCCAAAAAGAGTCATATCGAAGGATAACTTAATAGAGAGACAACTCAATATAACGGGATGCAAAGATATAAGGAGCTGTATTAAAACGTCGCAGTACCGAATTGGTATGTAGCAGCGAAATTCTAATGGAATGGGCGAAGGAAGTGCTAATAGCATGGTTTGGCCGTATTTGTGATAGTGGCAATGACAATGGATATTCATGAATGTACGACAGCAAAAGGATAAATGCCAACACGAACATAGATGAGGTCGCACTGCTACGCCTCTTCGGGCACATAAAAAATAACACAAGCGAACAAATAAAACCATAAATTTCGCTAGCAGAAAGGACAATAACAATTTTTTTTTCGCTACTATTATTTTTGATAATTTTTTCTTGTAGGTTTTCCTGATATTGTTTGTTGCCAAAGGGAAAATGAATACAAGCGCAAAAAAAAAAACAAGATGCAAAAGAAACACATAAATCCTGACTGGAGCATTTCTTTTGCGCTACACTTGCATGATTGTGGTCCTGGCATTTGTTGTTGTTACTTTTATTTTGGAGCATTTGCGGTATCAGTGAATGCTTCACATAATCCATTATCATTTTGCAATGTCCTAGCACTGCTTTATTATGCCGCATAAAGATCAAAATCTTTATAGAAGCAAAATAAGCGACATGCCATTAAAATTCAAAACATATAAACTCATTAAATTAAACACGACGTAACAATGTGGAAAAACAAGCAACACAACAAACACAAAAATAATACACAGGACAACTGAAGGAGCGAGTATGGTAAGAGGAAACGGAAGTACGAAAATTAAGGATAACAAATTGGAGTAGTGAAACAAAACATTTGCCAAAGCGCGTTGAACGATTAAACAATCAGCCAAATTGGAAGCAATGAATGCAAACAAACTAACGTAAAAACAATAAATGTCCTTTGTTGTATATGACAATGTATGCGTGTATGTGTGTATATCTTTGTTTGCTCGTAAAGTAACGTATGTGTGTGTGTCATAAAATTGCTCTCTTCAAGATGTTATAGTCAAGCAGAATACGTACAGTGGAAGAGTATCTTCAAAATTTTGTTATAAGTTCGAAAGTATTTTAGGTAACTCACCTATATTTGTAAAATCCATTTATAGAACTGTGATTATATTATAGTCTCTACACATTTAGTTAAAGATACTGAACATTTTACAGATCTTGCAGCAAAACATTATTGAAACGGAATCTATTCATTGTAGTAAATGTATAAAACATTTTCAGTAACTCACCTACATTTGTAACATCCACTTATAGAACTATGGTTACAATATAGTCTATATATAACTACTTAAAGATACTGAACATTTTGCAGATCTTCCAGTAAATCATTATTGAAACGGAATCCATTTATTGAAGTTAATGTACACAAATATTTTCGGTAACTCACCTACATTTGTTACATGCATTTATAGAACTATGGTTAAAATATAGTCTATATATACCTAGTAAAGATACTGAACATTTTGCCAAAAAATCACCACTGAAACAGGATCGATTTATTGAAGTAAATGTACAAAAATATTTTCGGTAACTCAACCATATTGTACCGTCGTTTTATAAGACGGTGGTTATTATCTAGTCTGTATATACCTAGTAATAATTACTGGGTATTTTAAAAATCTTCTAGCAAATCACTTCTGAAACGGGATCCATTTATTAGAGAATAGAATGCGGAAAAATTAAGTTGAAGTTGAGTACCAAAATATTATTTGAAACTTACGCACATTTGTATCGTCAATTTGTAGGATTATAGTTATTAAAGAGTCTGCATATATCTGGTAATAGATACTATATATTTTGCAGATCTTCCAACAAATCACAACTAAATAGTACGTCGGTTATTATATAGTTTACTTATACCTAGTAATAGATACCGGGTATTTTGCAGATCCTTTCACAAATAATTCTCAGAAAAAGATCCATAATCAAAGAAAATATAGAATGCTGGAAAACAGTTTTGAAGTTGAGAATAATTATAATGAAAAGTAAACTTATAATTTTAATTTTCGTTTTTATACCGAGTTACTGACTATACAAGAATATAATTCCTCTTGTAAAATAAATTTTTATATACGTATTGATGTGTTTTACTTTGTGAGTAAAAGTTGAGTTATGTTGAATTATGCTTTCAGAACTGATTCCTTTTCAATAGTTGAAAAGCATTATAGGTAAATACTCATTTAAGACCTTGATCCATATTAGACCCTAATCCTCACATAAGCGGTACAAAAGAATTTTGTTTGTTTCCTAAATTGATTTTTTTAAAAATCATTTATAAAAAATATGGGTAGCATTTGTACTGAAAATTTGTAAAGAATATTAATGTAAAATATAAAAGAAAATTAAAAATGCGTTAGAAATTAAAAACGTTTCCAGTTTCAAAACATAAACTACAGCAAGCACGGAGAAGTGGTTCCATATCATACATCCTTACCACCTTTACGTAGCAAGAAACTTTTATTTATGCTACAAATTTAATATTACCTAACCTGGAATAATGGCTATCTTTGTTAAAAAATGCATCTCTTTAGGATTGAATATAGAATATTATTAGATGCATTTACTACTTTTGCTATTACTATGAAAATTATGAATAGTATGAGCATTTAACACTCTTATTCCTGTAACTGTTCATATAACCGTGTAAGATTAGTAGATCATATTAATTTGGAATGCATACTACTCTATTCCGTAGTTGAATTTAGTATTAATTTGTCCACGGTTTGGTATTAATATGGAACACTATTAGATCCAGTTTCTAAAATTGCTATTACTATGTTTTTGCTATTTAGACAGATTGCTCTTTTAGATTAAAGTCAGATCAATTTGAAATGCAGACTGTCTTTCTTATTATTTCATTCATAGTTAAATAAGTCTTTCTGTCCAACATTTAAGGTTAACATCGCATAATATTAGAACCAGATTTCGAATTTGATATTGCACATTCCGGCAAGTAGTGCTGTGAGATCAATTACTAATGCAGACTATCTTTCTTATTACTTCATTTGTAATTGAGGAAGTCTATCTCTCGAAGTCTATTTGAGGTTAATACCAAATACTATCACATCCAGATTCCGATTTAACTGTTTCTGTTCTATTTGCTATTCTGATAGGTAGCTCTGTTGTATTTTAGGTCAGATCGATTTAAATGCAGACTACCTTTCTTATACATTTCTTTCTTTCTTACTTTTTTTCTTATTTGTATTAAATGAATCTATCTGACCAAAGTGTGAGGTTAATACCGAATACTATCACTCTAAATTCCGAATTTGTTCTATTGCTGTTCTATTTGCTATTCTAGTAGCTAGATTTGAAAGATTACTCCATTCAATGTTGAATTTGTTATAAATCTATCCATCCAACACTTGTGATTTATATGGAATACTACCAGATTTAGAATCAGAATTTGTTATTGCTGTCCTCTTTGCACTATTTTTATTATAACTGTATTTTCATATAAAACTTAGATGGAATAATATCTGCTCCAGACCTTGAATATGGTTTTAGTATCATCTTAAAGGTTTCAGTATTCCTTTGTTGTGAACAATTTTGGTTCCTCAAATCATCTCAGCAATTCCACTGTATCAAAGGACATCTTCCAAGTAAATACAATTCGACACAGTTACAATCCGAAATGGAAAATAGAAAAACGAATTTTCAAGCATTTTCGTTTAGAAATAATTACGTTTATCGCTTTTACAAGTGAAGTTACGATAACAAATTTTCCCATTACGTAGAATATAGAATAAGCAAAAATGAGACAAAATGAAATGAAAATGTGACTAAACAAAGGAAAATTGTTATTCATTTAGGGAACAAACGAAATATAAATAAATTTCCAAAAACAAAAATAATAAATACATAACTGAAAAACAGAAATTAAATAAAAAAAAATGGAAAATATTCAAAACTCGAATGCAGCAAAACGCCAAAACGCACGACAAATTCACAATGACAAGACAAATTATCCTGTTGATAAGCAACAAGACGGAAGCGGATGTGCTGCTCCTTGCTCGTAGGCAATAGTAGTATGTGGGATATGGTACCATGGGGATCAGCCGACTGAAGAATGGATGTGGGTGGTTGTGTGTACCGTGTGTGCAGAGCAGAGCTTATTTAACTCATTTAAGTGAGTAACATGAAGTAAAACAAAATAAACAATAAAACAAATACACAAATTGGGAATAAAGATTAAGATGCAATGATAGCGTTAAATAAGAGATACATCGGTGATGTGGGAAATGTGCTGGGAAAATGTTGAATGCAAATTGGGTTATTTGAAATAGAAAACACATACAAAC